AGCCTAACTCTTCACTGGCTGGCGCGACTCAGTAGGACTTGTAGTGAGAATGGGAACACCGAGTCAACGGCTAAGAGCAGCTGCAGTGCACCTCAGCAAAGAGCACTCACCATCCCGGTCTTCGTCGTGTACATTTAAATACAAATACTCCAGTCCTCTTCCTTTCTTGTACTCCTCGATTCCCTGAATTTTTCTTATTAAGCTTGTTTTTCCAGCTCCATCTTCACCTAGATACATAAAAAATGAAAAGGATAATTTAAAAATTATAATATGGATTGTTTAGGATGGTTAAATCCAACTGGGGATTGGATGCAAACAAAAAGGTGTTTGAAGGTGTTTAGATAACTAGGTAGCCACGGAGTAAAAGATGCAGCCTTCTTCTCCACCTGGATTCTTTCTCCAGCACCCCTCTCTCTTGTTTAGCCTCATGTCACACTGTCACAGACTGCTTCTGCTGTGAGCATGTCTTGGGGCCTGGGTCCCTAAGTGACACAAATGGTTCATATTCAACCACTAGCTTTCTGAAAGTTGGTGATTTGAACCCACTGGCAGTGCTATGGGAAGGCTGAAATGATTCAAAACGCAAAACAAAACAAAATGATGTTTCATTCCAAACCCACTGCCACTGAGTCGATTCCAACTAACAGCAACCCTCTATGAGGTTTCCGATACTAAGCTTCACGGGAGCAGGCAGGTGCATCTTTCTCCTGAGGGGTCCTTGTGGTTCACAGCCCAATGCCTTCCCCAGAGAAAAATCAGTATTTCTCAAAAAAATCCCACGGAGCTCAAGTCTACTCTCTAACACACAGGGTTGTCATGAGTTAAAACGGACACAATGGCAAACAAGCTGCTGTTTCGTTTGTGGTAAGAAACCACAGCCTGGGAAACCCGATCCTGGGTCACTGCGTCAGTGTCAATCTGACGGCAGTGCACTATTTGATTTCTGTGCACAGGTTTTTCTTATAAATTGTAAATTCTTTTAATGTTAAATATTACTGCTTCATGGACTTATTACTTAATAGCAATATCATATAATACTTATAGATAATATAGCTGTTTCCTAGATTCCTGAAGATTAACGACTTCTCTGAAGAATTAAAAAATCTTTTCATTTTCATGTTAAGCTCCCCAAAATACATTCAGGTTTTAGATCTTCTGAATGACTACCATTGTAACTGAATGCAGCAACTTGAGTGCAGAGCCCACATCTGCACTGGGGTTTGTAAGGCTACTAGTGCCACACTGAAGACAAGTAACGTACACAGAGCAGAGAGGGGACACACAGGTAAATTCAAAAGTAGGTCAGGGCAGTCAATACCACGTCCACTTGTACTGAGAAAACGGCTCTTTTTATGAGACATTTCCCAATACTTCATAATAGTAAGTGTAGCTTATGTAGGCAATGAAGCTCTTGTCATTAAATGAACTTATTTTGTAGTACTATTTTTGTACTATTAAGCAAACCTAAAAAATAAGTTTGGGTTAAAAAAAGTGACATGCATGATGTTTTCCATGTTGGTCCATCACGCTTGAAAAGGGAACCATGTTAACCAGTAAAAAGTAAAACACATAAACCCATCTGGTTACTGTGAAACCAACACTGGTATTTAGTTTCAGCAAAAACTTCCTTTGCTATATTAACATAGCTAATTTGATTTTTATTAGTTCTATGATTTTTATACTTAATATACAATGTTTTCGCTTTGTATTGTGCAAGAGCTATAAGGGAAAAGATTTTCTATCCTTACTTAGGTAGGCATGTGTGGCTTAGACATTAGAATAGGAGGGGAGTTATGAAACACTTTTTGTAAAAAGGTATCAGAGTCTGGTCCAGAACTAGAAAAGGAAGCAAGGTTTCTAGTTGCTTTTACTTGTATGGAAAACTGTTTTCCTGAAAGAGTTCTCTAAGTTAAAATGACATCAATTAAATTATGATGAGCTCACAGAAATGTTCTATAAGCAAAATCAAGTATCTAGTGTCATAACTTAATAAAAACAGACGGCAATTAGATAAATGAATCCGCATTTAACATGACCCAGGATTTATCTTATTTCATGAATTCTCAGCTTTGATGATAGAAAATGAAAAGATAAATAATTCACGGTAAAAATTTTTTGGGGTTTAGATCAACTAATTTTTTAACATTTCAAATGACTAAAATATGAAGGTTTCTGAGTAAAAGATTTAACATATAAATCTCAACACAGAAGATAAATAAAAATCTGACAGTAACAACTAGAAAGAATTACTGACAACATGATTATCTCCCATGGTGATTTTTTAAGGTAATAATTTTGTGCTCTCCTCTTTTCACTATTTTCTATTTTTAAGTTGGTCAACAGGCTTACAACAAATAGCCCAAATTCCTGACATCAAAAGTACTGTGTTAGCTAAAAATGCCCTCTATTTTAAATTCTTGCCAGCATTATTAGGGAATGGCCATTTCCGTTTTCTAAGGACTAAATAAAAGTGGCAGGGCTTTTCCACCCTGGTCATGAACTAGAGTTTGTGCCTGAGGAAATGCTGTCCAGTATTTATTCACTGGACTAGTGGTTTTCAAACAAACATATATCAGAAGTCCCTGCAGGCTTATGAGAACCCTAGGAATACTGGTGGAACTGTGGGGTAAGCACAGGACTGCCAACCACAAGGTTAGCAGTTCAAATCTTCCAGATGCTCCATGGGCAAAAGATGGGGCTGTTTGCTCTTATTAAGATTAAATAACAAAACAAAATGATTCATAAAGGCTCAGAAACTCTAGTAGAATTGTTATGAATTACAAATAACTAGAAGGGGGTATTTTCTTTTGTTTCTGAACACTGGATTGCTGGGTCCCACCTCTGCAATTTCTGATTCAGTAGCTCTAGGTCCAAAAATCTTTACTTCTAATACATTCCCAAAGATGCTGATGCTGTTTAATCCAGGACTTACACTTTGAGAGCATATTGTGCATTTATTGCAATATGTCAAACAATACAGATCTATAGATCTGTACATCAAAGTTACTGTCCTCCAGGAACTGATAAACTGAAGAGGAAAAACCAAACAGGAAATAATTTCATGATACTGTTATTGGGAATATATGAGAGATATGCACTGGGGGCTGTGATGGATGACAGAATTCTCACCTTCCATGTGAGAGATCCGGGTTCAATTCCTAGTGAATGTACCTCATACTTAGTCACCGCCCATCTGTCATTAGAGACTTGCAAGTTACTATGACGCTGACTAGGTTTTCAGTGAAATTTCCAGATTAAAACTAGGAAGAAAGGCTGGCAATCTACTTCAGAAAATCAGCCATTGAAAACCCTGTGGATATCACAATGGTCTGATCTACAATCTCTGCAACAGATAGTGGGGATAGCCTCAAATGTGGACAAGGCAGAGCTAGGCAGTGCGCCATCTGTTGTGCATGGGACTGCCGCAAATGTCAGGGTGCAGGGATCCTCTCAAATGGCAGCTAACAAGATACATACAACAAATCCGGAGACCACCACAGAAGAGACAGCGCCTGGCTTTGCCTGGACCTCAGAAGGCCTTGCGGCAAAGGTAATACTTTAGACAAATTTCACCAAGTTGAGAGCCTGGAGAATTCGAGGACAAAAGGAAAGTATGCAGAGAAGCCTAAAGGCAAAGGAGTGTCCTTGTGGAAAAGAGCAGTAACTTGGAAAGTATGAGGACAAACGGAGGTAGTGAAAAGGCAAAGCTCACTGCCATCAGTCAATTCTGACTCAGGGTGAACCCACAGGGCAGGGGAGAACTGCCCCTACAGGTTTCTGACACTGTCACAAAAGTGCTTATAATTGTGATTTTTTTCACAGCAAAATGTCTATTTCCAAACCCCCTACAGGGCCACCACCAACAGATCTTTTATTAAATAATGAAAAAGTACTTTCACTTCAGTTGTAGTATATATATATATATGAACTCAAGTGCCATGAATCCTTGAGAAGGATACACATTTTGACCCTTTCCCCATTTGGAAGGAGTCTGGATATAAAAGTGGCTTGGGACCAACTGTTAACCTAAAGGTTGTCCATTAGAATCCTCCAACATCCTTGTGAAAGACAGACCTGGTGATCTGCTGTAATCCGGAGATGAATGGAAAAGGGTCCCTGAGCAGAAACGAAAAGCTGACACACTGTGGGAAAGCAGCCACCGTCACGGAATACTTACTTCATGTCCAAACTGTCACAGCAAGTCTGCTCTTCTACTCTGTGACCTTACTAATCTGTAACCCGTAGGGGCAACTCAAAGACAGCTAACATCAACAACCCGCTGTGGACTTTTTATTGGGTATTAATGGGATTTATACACAAGGCCTAAGAAGCCAGAACACAAAAAGAACACAATTTCAAGTATGTCATTGTGTTTCCAGGAAATACAAATTAAATCACCGTCATTCACATTTCCTTTTGCTCATGCCTTGGTAAAACAGAGCATTCCATCGCCGTTTCTATAGGAATAGCAGTAAACAGTGCTTATCATGGGAATTAGGAGTGCTGGTGGCCTAGTGGTTATGCATTTGGCTGCGGTCTGCAAGACTGGCAGTTCAAAACCATCAGCAGCTTCTTGGGGGAAAGATGGAGTTTTCTACTCCCATAAAGAGTTACAGTCTAGTTCTAGCCAGTCCAATAGGCTCACTATGACTTGAAGGCAGTGAGACGACAGAATGTATGCACTGAATTGCTAACTGCAAGTTCAGAGGTTCACAATGGAGAGGCCTGAGGGGCCGGCCCCAATCCTAACTACAAGGACACCTGCCCCCCCCCTGTCCCCCCCCACCCCAAGAATTTACTTCAGAGGACAATACTGAAGCTGCAGCTCAGGGATAGGAACATGTCTGATCAGAGCACCCAGGAGCAAATGAAGGGGGAGGAAGAGAGAGTGGAGCACATCCTGGACCACCAAGCCTTGATGACGAGATTCCGGCTCAGAGCAGC